TCCGAGGAGGGGGAGGTTTGTTCAGTTTGGAGAGCCCATCTGATAGGGTAATTCATCAACTTTGGCAAGACAGCAATTGAATAAAAGGATAATAAATTTGTTTACTATCTTGGGTCAACCTACCTTAGTAGGAGATTGCCAATTTTGTTAAGAAAAAAAAACCCCTTTAATGGAAGGGGATTCATGCTTTCCACTTTGGTTTTTCTACTTATGTTTTTATTTTAAAAGCATATAGCATGGATTGGACCCGGTTAGGGGGAAACATGGTGTATTTTCCCCCCCACAGTCTTTTGTTAAAAGGGATTTTCAGTCACTAAAATTTAGCTGCTTTAATGCTTTTTTTCGGGAACAAAATTCCCCCTCAAGGGCTTTTATAGTTTTGGAAAAAATTTGTCACCCCCACCCATCCTTGGCCCGGGGTTTTTAGAGTGAATCTTTATGGTGTTTTTTTTAATTTTCCCTTGTTTTTTCACATTTTACAGAATACCTAAGCCATGGTAAATCAGTTTTAGGGGTTAAAACTAATTGATTTTTAGATTTTCAAGTTTTATATTGCCCCTGGGCTGAATTTTTTTTCTCCGAAGTGGTCTACAGACCATGAACATTTTGCCCTGCCCCAGGGCCCGTTGCCTCTACTATAAAGAACTATTGAAGCCAAATTTGGTAGGTAAATTTTGAGGGGCTTTGAAAAGCAAACTGATCCCTTAAATGGAAAAATGGAACCCCTTTGGTTTTTTTGGGACTTAAAACCCCTTTCCCGAAAGGGCATTCCAAATCCCAAAAAGTAAAGAAAACCGAATTAATATTTCCCACAAGAAAAAAAGTTTAAAAACAAAATCCTTTTTTCCGACACCCCAAAAATATTAACAAAAAATACATTTTTTAAAGAATAACAATAATTTTACATACAAAAAACGATGAGAAATAAATATAAATGACTAATTTTAATGATAAATGAACATTACATACCTTTATTGAAGACTTTTGTTGGTGTATGGAAGAAGGTGAGGAGGAGAGAGGGAGTCAAGGTTATTGTTTGTAAGGGGAATCCCCCTCCATAAGGACTTCAGGTATCAAAGCCCTCTCTGGGGTTACTTCCCTTATTTGTCTTTTACTGGTACTGGACTCCTGTCTCACTAAAAATCTGTCCAGAGAGCTCTGTCTCTGGCATCTCTTTAAGATTTTCTTAAAATGGGACAAGGTATTGTCACTGAACATGTTGCAGATACGGCTTGTATGAGCTTGGTCAGGGTGATATTTTTCAACAAAAGTTTGCAACTGTATTCCACTCATTCCACTTTGCACACATCTTAATCACTGAAGAAGGCACCTTCTCCCCTCTCTCTTCCTCCTCCTCTGAAGCAATTTCCTCAGCTTTCATATTTTTCTACACTCTCTTTTTTGAATTCTATTGTGTTTCTCACCTTCTTTACCATAGGGCTGGCACTAGGAACTTTCTTTGGGCCCATGGTGGCTTATTTCGCAGTCACAATCAATAAACAAGCACAAAAATTGCAAAATGTTTCGGATGAATGCTCACTCAACCAGTGACAGAGCCAGACTGATTGCGTCCCGGGCAGGCGGACGCATCAGATATGTACGATTTCCGGATTGAGGTACGAAATCCGGACCAAAATGTTGCCCAAAAAAGGTGTTCTAAATCTGAATTGTACAATATGCGGACCATACGAAAACCAGAGTCCCACTGTATTATACAGTATGTGTTCTAAATTTTTAAAGGCAATATATATGGGAAACATCAATTTTCATTATATCACTCATAACAATATAAATGTACAGTAAATTATTGTTAAACTATGACAATGTGAATTCATTCTGTTGCTTATCTTCTTAGAAACTGTGTACATATTTTCCTTTTTTACTAAGCTGTTCTATTTCTAAAGATTCCACAAATATGAATCCTGCAAGATTTGCTTCAGCTAAGAAGCAAACATTAGTAAAATATGTAATACGTTTACTGGATGCATCGTAAGAAATGTTTTGGATTACTGCCTTACTGTTTTGGCTTTTTTTGGTCATTTCTGTGCAGTAATTACTTATTTGAGTTTGCTGTGAAAGGGGATGAAATGTCAGCTCCTGGTCTTGCCTCTCTGCTTTTCATTGACTGATGTATGGACATACAAATTTTAGAGATAGAAATAGAAACTAGCTTGGCTCTCTCAGTAAATGTTTGAACACTGAACCTTCTAAATGTTAACCTAATATGCTGATCACTCTGCCATCATGCGATATTTCTTTTTCTTTTAGGATCATTTGTCTGGACTAGGCCATCATTACACTTTGTCATATATATTCCACGGAAGAAACAAATGCCCCTTCATATCCACTCCTCAGATGGTGAACCCACTGAAACAAACAGGTAATTTATATGTTATCTTGAATTCAGTATGTAATGAAATTGATATGCACCATCTCTTCCCACCAGCACTGTAGTAAGTATTATAATCAAAAAGAAGCGCTAAGCCACAAGGGCTATACAGCGCTGTAGTAAGTAAAGGAGGGATTACCAGAGTCTCTTATTGTTTTACTCTGCTTCATAGAGCAGTCTTTTCCATATTAACACTTCTCTTCTCTCTTATTCAGCTCTGTCCCTCTACCTTGCCTTTATGTTCAATCTTCACTTACTAACTCCAATTATTAACTTTTTTTTTTTTTTTTTTTTTTTTTTTTTTTTTTTTTTTTTTGCTATCTCCTATAACTACTTTCAGATAATTGCACAGATCCTATAAACATTTTGCCACCATTATATTTAATGTGTTTTTTTACATCCTCTGTATTAAATTCATATTTCTTTTCTATCAATTGGGATGGCTTAATGTGCTTATATTAGCTTACATTATCAGTTTCCAATTCCAAGTGAAAACTTGGGAAATTTTCCCCCCATTTCCTGATCAGCCAAGATTTAGTACATATATTGGAAAGCAGGCAGATAGCATCAACAGCCTGAGTAACCAGGCCATCAACCAAGAGGCCTAGTCTAAGACTAGTCTAAGACTAGTCTAAGACTAGGCCATGGGGAACAATGATCCCTGGAACCATTTAAGGGTAAGTAGTCTATGAAGTAATAGTCATCAGACAAAATTATCCCTCAAGAAAAGTATAACTTATGAAAGTCTCAGGATTGTAAATTTGAACTCAGTGTACTGGGATATGATCTAAATTTTGACCTCGTATGTACAAGTTGAAAGCTATGCCTTCGACTACATTACAAGGTTTGATAAATTAATATCAAAGCATGCCTCAGAGGTCAAAGTGTTTGCAAATTTTATATTGCTAACATAATACAATTAAAAGTAAACTAGGAAATCACTAACTTAATCTGACAAATGTGGTAAAATAGTGATACTCATAGAAATTGGCTGTCTTCATTTGTCATGGCCATAAGTTAGATTTTTAATAAGTAAGCAGGAAATTTATTTTTTATTTTTTTATTTTTTTTTTATTATCACACTGGCCGATTCCCACCAAGGCAGGGTGGCCTGAAAAAGAAAAACTTTCACCATCATTCACTCCATCACTGTCTTGCCAGAAGGTGCTTTACACTACAGTTTTAAACTGCAACATTAAACACCCCTCCTTCAGAGTGCAGGCACTGTACTTCCCATCTCCAGGACTCAAGTCCGGCCTGCCAGTTTCCCTGAATCCCTTCATAAATGTTACTTTGCTCACACTCCAACAGCACGTCAAGTATTAAAAACCATTTGTCTCCATTCACTCCTATCAAATACGCTCACGCATGCCTTCCCAAAAATAATTGAGGTGGGAAAGCACATCAGTTATCAGTCAGCAGATTCATTTTGTTAATGTATGCTTGTATGTTGCAGCTTCTTAGTCCCACGTTGGGGTGGGGTGATGATTCACAACATACCACTGGCTAAAGGAAATGCATCATTTCCTCATTATGTGACACTAGACTCCCACTGGATCATGAGCACTGTCCTTACTCATCTTCACAGATTATTGCCTATACCATCTCTGGTAAGTAGTTCACTGTATGTATCACTCTGTTAGTGTGTATGTGTGAGCCTTAACCTAAGACTCCAATTCATGTAAGATAATGGTAATGGAATGGGAAGTACAATTCCTACATTCTGAAGGATGGGTGGAGATATTGCTGTTCCGAGGGTCACTTTAACTGTGATGAACATGCATGTCTGGGAAGAGCTATTGAGTGAATGATTGTGAATGTCTTTTGTTCTGTGAGAGGGCCACTGTACCTTGATTTTGTGGTAAAAAAAAAAGACTTGTAAGTCAAAGAGAAAGTTAACATTGAACTTTATTTCCTAGCATCCTCATCTACTTTAAATTTGTTGGTACATTTGTATTTGTGATCTTTGACAGTTAACTTGTTATAGTGTCTTGGTATAAGATACCTATTTCTTGATTCTTTCTCCACTAACTATTGAACATAGTAGGCAATATTTTGGTATATGCTGTACATCATTTATCTACACAGAAATATTCCTCAGTGTCAATAAAAAACTAAATCACCTTTTATCACATTTTTGTCTTTTCAGAAAGAAACAGAAGGTTTAAAGATTTGCCTTCACTGGACACTTGCCTATTGACTGAATGGCAGCTTGATGGTTTAGCTCGGGCCAGAGTGTCTTACTACTTGTCCAACATTCACATTACATTGCAGGTAACACGTTACATCATTTAAGCTGCAGAACATTTTAGAATGTGTTTCTGTAATCTAGTTAAAGGAAACTAATGTAATAATGTATATAGACATCATGTGATTGCCTTGTATCATTGTGATATACTGTATATATAACCGCTATGCAGACTTTGCTGGGTTAGGCAGTAATATGTTCTATCATTGTCTTCTACAGTCCTTGTGCGAGTTAGTTGGAGAGATCAGCAACATGGTAATAAGCGATGAGGTGGGTGGGTGGGTGTGGGGAGCAGTGGAGGAATGGAGTGAATGTGGTCAAGCAGCTCGAGAAGGAAGGCTACAAAAAGAAACTCTCTATTGCAGTCGTTCCTTTCACCCAGTGAGCTGCTTCTTCCATCCTTCCATGTTGGCATATTTTATTTCCTGAAAACCAAAGTAAGTAAATTTGTGCTCACTTGGTAAAAAAAAAAAAAAAAAAAATTTTTACATTTCTCATTAAATATATTTTTTTAAGAAATTTTTTGGGTAAAACAAAAACATTACATTTTGGATTCATTGAATGCATTTTATCAATGCAACAAAGGTCACCCAACATCAAATTTTTGGGCATTCCCCTCAACTTTATATTTTCCATTTTCATTTTGCGTTTTTGAAAAATTTTGTGTTACTGATAGTTGTTTCATTTGAGTTAGTTAGCAAAAATAAAATTTTACAGAAAATAAATAAGAGTGAACGACAAAATAAGCCGTAAATTTAAGATAATTAATATATACATTACATTATAGAAATATGGCTCATTTTTGAAAAATTTTTATTGGTAAGAGATTTTTTTTTACTCTGGACAGGTATGCAATATACTTCCTTTGTTCCGCCCGTAAAACCCTTCTTTCTCCCCCTCAAATTGTCGGGGACTGTACGGAAACCCCCCACCCCGAAAGGAGAAAGGTGGATTAAAGCTGTATTGTCTTGCTTTCTTGGGGAAAACAATTATATCTTGTAAAAATTTTATTTTTGAAAAAAATTCACTTACAGTAATTTAAACAATTTTAAATTAACCCCCACTTGAAAGGGAAAATTTAAACACAAAATTTTTGGGCTGCCAAGGCCCTTTATCAGGGCACAACTTTTTTTAAAAAAATATGAAGGGGTTTAAGGAAACTGATTACGGACTTTAGCCTGGAGGGGGAAATAACACCTCCCCCTGAAGGGGGGGGTGAGGGGTATTTGCAATTTTGGGGGGGCATCTGAACTGTATTTTCTTGTGCCTCTGCAAAAAATTTTAGAGTGAATGATTTGAAACATTTCTGTTTTTGGGGCACCCCACCTTTGGGTTTTAGACAGCCAATGTGGGAAAAAAAAAAAAAAAGATAGTTGGGGTAAACTGAAACTTTATCGTTTTCTTTCCAAATTGTGGTTAATCATTTAATTTTTCCTAATTTTATTTTCACCATTTACAAAAATTTTCTTTATTACAATCCTAAAGGGGAAAATTTTTTTGGGAAGTTTTAGATCTTTTTGGTTTTTAAAGTTAGAATTTTATGGTATGTCAATTGTGTGATCCCTGTAAAATTGTGGCTCAAGTGTTTACAAAACCTGCGGGAAGGAAGTTCATGCGGGAGTTACATCCTGTTTCATTAGTTCTTTTTTTTACAAAATATTATATAGTATGCTTATGTATTCATTTTTATATCTGATTATAATGAAACTTAATTTTCAAAATTTGTTTTGACATTTTTTTGTGTTTGAAAAACTAATGGAGGGAATTTAGCTGATTTTGTGGGCATGAAAAAATTAATCATTTTAGTAAATAATTTGTGAATGTAATGAGGGTCAAGATTACCCTTGGCTATTTTTTCAACAAAAAACAGTTGTTGGGCTGCATGTATACTGTTTTTGGGGTATCAAAAATCTCTTTCTCAATTTTTTTGGGTGAATTTTCAAGAATACAAAAGTGATGTCAAGGGGCCCTTGTTAAAAACACCCAAGGTAAAATTTTAAACCCTTTAATGGTAAAAAATTTAAAAACCTTTAAAAGATTAACCTTTAAACTACGTACAGGCAATGCAAAATATAACCTTCTTTAACTATTTTTTTCAGTATGAAAAAAGCATTTCTAAATTTTAGAATGCAACTATTTAGTTAAAACTTCCGTATAGTTACTTTGCAGAAAAGGAATTGATGCATTAAGTTTTCAAAAATTAATACATACAGCATTACTGACCCTTGCGCCTTTTCAAATGGGGCGGGGTTTTTGGATTTCGAGCGCATTTTTGTTTTTTGTAGCACCACCTCTATATGTTTAACATAGTTTAGTAAAACAGCTGTATTTTCTAGGGAACACTCAGAGAAACTTCTGACATAGGAGAGACTTCAGGCAGCTTTGTTTTGGGAAAAAAACTTTTTTTGTTTTTACCCCCATAAGTTCATTGAATCTTTTCATTTTTCCTTCACTTTTTCATTCCAAATGTTATTTACTTATCACACATTCCCAGTGCATCATTTTTATGAAATGCATTTCGTCACCCCTCGCATCTCTTTCTTTTATTTTTCCAGCATCCCTCACTCTACTTAAACCTAATTTCTGTATTTTCTTTGTGCCATTTTTATCAATAAGTTCCTGAAGAACGATTTAGGTTTTTTTTGCCCTTTCCCTAAAATTTTGGTCGAGAACCACAATGTCACAAAATCTCCTCTTCCACTAGTTATGTTTTCCTTTTTTATAAACCTGGGAACTTTTCTCTTTTTCACAAATTGTTTTGCCCTTATCATTTCCCCTGGCCTATTGGACTAACTACTCAAAACATAAATTTCTGAGCTTTAATACCCTGTACAAGACTACTATACTTTGCAGTTTACCTTTATTTTAAGGGAAAGCAGAGGCCCACTAGACCACCTTATAAGAACCACCTTATTTAAAGCTTTATCTTGTTTCTATCTAATCTTACTTTACTTTTATATTGCCTTGTACATTGTGTAAACTTTTTTACTTTGAGTGTTTATGATTATTTTTCTTGTTATTATTAATAACCAGTAGTTTATAAATCTTTCTTTCTTCTTTCAATGTACCAGCCATATCCCACCGAGGCAGGGTGGCCCAAAAGGAAAAACGAAAGTTTCTCCTTTTACATTTAGTAATATATACAGGAGAAGAGGTTACTAGCCCCTTGCTCCTGGCATTTTAGTCGCCTCTTACGACACGCATGGCTTATGGAGGAAGAATTCTGGTCCACTTCCCCATGGAGATAAGAGGAAATAAACAAGAACAAGAACTAGAAAGAAAATACAAGAAAACCCATAGGGGTATGTATATATATGCTTGTACATGTATGTGTAGTGTGACCTAAGTGCAAGTACAAGGAGCAAGACGTACCTGAAATCTTGCATGTTCATGAGACAGAAAAAAGGACACCAGCAATCCTACCATCATGTAAAACAATTACAGGCTTTCGTTTTACACTCACTTGGCAGGACGGTAGTACCTCCCTGGGCGGCTGCTGTCTATCAACCTACTACCTAGGTAGTTTATAAATGCTTGTAGAATTAGCTTTTCTGTCAGCAGAGAAATCTGATCTTTGTCATATCAACCATTCTTCCATTTCATGTTAAAATTATAGCCTTGAAATAGTCTCTATCAGAGGAGTGTATTTGAAGGCCTAACAGATTTCTGTCACCAGGTTGGAGTTAGAACTGTATAGATGATGATCAACAATCATCTTAATAAGCTACCCTTGCTATACTTCAAGAGCGTTGTTTCCCTTCCTGTTCCTCTATCTCTTTCGCACATTTATGAATTTAAATATTAATAATTTACTCTTGGCGTGCAGCATCATATGATCCTTTTTAGGTTTAGCACTCTGTAATATAATACAAACTTTAAAAAATAATGCAGTTTTATTGAATTATCCTAGTTAAAGATTAAAACTGTTTACTAATAACAATTTTAATAATATTTTACAAGTACATGTACAGTACAAGGTGTACAGGCCTAACTGACATTAGTGATGTACTACTATATAGAAAGTCCCTGGTTATGCAGAGCATTTTGGGCAAATTAGGTAAATTTTGTCCCCAGGATGTGACCCACACCAGTCAACTAACACCCAGGTACTTATTTTACTGATAGGTGAATATAGACAGCAGGTGTCTTAAGGAAACACATCCTGTTTCCATCCATACCGGGAATCACTCCCGGACCTCAGTGTGTGAGCTAAGTGCACTACCGATTTAGCTACAGGACGCCATCAGAAATTTGGGTTTATTCAACCACCCTTGTACCATTCAAAAACAAAAGGAAAGTTCCTTGATACTTAAGGGCTCTTGATCCAAGGAATTGGAGCTTTTCCTTTTCCTTGCAAACTTGATTACCACCCATTCTTTTGTGCTGTATGAGCCCAATGGGTTTGTTGCTTTCTCACAATTTTAATCATTATCCCTTTCCTTAGATTTTATATTAAAATTATTATTTATTATTATTATTATTATTATTATTTTTAAATAATCAACACTAAGCACAAAAACCACCAAGGTCATATAGTGTTCCTTAGATAAAACCTGATTACCTCGTATTTTCCAGGGGTTGAATGCCCCCTATCGGTTTACTACTTCCTTTTAATTTTCCTTCAGAGGGGGGGAGGGTCCCTGATACTATTGAATGACTTCAAGAAATTGGAGCTACCCTTTCTTTTTCTTAGATCACAGTTTCAGGTACCACGGGGATCCCGCCCCTCCTGCATGACTCCCCCGACTGCAGTATATAAGCCACCTCTCTGACCCTATGCTGTCCTCATCTCGCTCCTGGTCTGTCCGATCACACAGTTGCTCTACACTCAAGAAGCCTCCCTTCGACCCCGCCGGGTTGGGAAATTGATATTCTATAAACGTCACAACCTTTTCACAATGCTGTTGATCGTGTGAAAGTCAAGCCTGTGAATGGTGCAATAAATGACTCCTTTAAGTTAGCTTAGCTACCGTCGTTAGGACCTGCCTGCAGGTCAAATTTACGGCAATCCACTCTGAAGGACTCCTTCATTGTGTCTGCACAGACGACACAGAAGCATCAAAAATAATGGAAGACTCCTTAGTCAGGACCCTACAAACACCACAATTTACTCTATCCCCATCTCCATTCTTTAAGTCGAAACGTTCGGTCTTTGTGAAAAGACTGGACAATATCGTCACCTCTCTCTCTACTGAAGACTGAAGACGTCTATTGAGGAACAAAAAACCAGGGCCTCGGTAGACAGTGTCTCCAAGATCCCTAACGCCTCATCTATGCTAAAGA